TTACTTTCTTGATCTAACTTGTCAGCTGCAGCATTCTCATTCATAAATTTAAGAGCATCTGACAGTGAGTCAAAGGTAGCTCCTCCTTTACTGTCAACACTATCAGCTCTACGCAACCATCTGGCAATGCATTCAATAAAACGATCTTCTACTTTTGAGTAGTTTTCTGCAATAGCGTCCAGTGAGTCCATGAGTAGTCCTAGTGTCAGTCCTAGTTCCTTCCATCTCCTCTGAGGGAAACCACATCTCTTCAAGAGATTAAGTACATCAATAAGCTGCTCTAAAATCACACTCAATGATACATAGATAGTTAATGAACATTACCAATAATCAAAGGAGAAGAGAAGAGACTCAGAGAAGAGGAACAAGAATTGGTTTTAGTTGCCATTGATCAAAGAACAAGCTAACCGGATGCAAACTTTGCAATGGCGCAAAGGAATTACAAGGGAGGGGCTGGTTTTGGGCGGGGCAATTATTGTTATTTTAACCCTCAATATGGTAGCATTGGAACAGACTGATCATGATGGACTTTTCATATACAGGGAAGAGAGAAAGTTGATGATGAAAATGATAAAGTTACTAATGACAGCAAAATAACTGATGAGGTAGTTTAAATGTACCTGTACATGTATACTATAAATGAATTTTAGTCAAATTGTGAAATACATGTATGATATGTCCTGTACCCGTACCTGTAAGGGCCCCATCAAAGTTTTTGTCCTGGACCCCACATAGCCTATTGGCAGCCCTGCCTGTAACAAAAAACTATGGACTATAGTTCATGCTTTTTTCTACAAAATCGCTCCAAAATCATTCCTAATTTTTATTACGTTTAAAAATTTGAAGCCGATTCCGACTAAAATTTTTAAGTTGTCCATTTAAGCAAATGAACCAATTAATATTATTGCATCTCATTGTTTTTATTGTATTTTATGAGTTTAACGAGAGCTTTGCTGATAAACATTGAATTATAAAATGTACATCAAAAGTAAATATACATATGTACATGTACATGTAATCCTTTATCTCCATGTCTCTCACTATTTAGAGTGTTGATAGAAAATATATGTTTCATTTACCCAACACATTCCCAGAGACTCAAAGTATCTTGAGGTACGTTATTCTGCTCGTCATCCTGCCCCTCCCCCACCTCCTCTGGTCTCTCGTACAGCTGTGTGATTGGTACCAATACAACAAGGTTAGGACACACAGTCAGTGTATGTACATGTACATGTTTGTCCTTTTATGTTTTGCCTAATTTTAGCAAATTTAAAAATTCGTAAAAATTCTAATTTTGATCAGAATGAGCTCAAACTTTCTACAATACATAAGAGCATGTATATGTATCAGAAAAAAATTAAAAGTGAAGAATTTTCTCCTTTTTATTTTTGTTAAAATTTGACCTACAGAAACATTTTTGAAAAATGGCTCTGAAATTACCCCAAATTTTTATAGCATTGCTTGATTTATATTGATGTCCTTATGCTGTGTAGAAAGTTTAAGCTGATTCCAACTTTAATTTTTTTAGTTATAACAATTTTAATAAAATCCAGAATTTTGAAATTTTTAAAAGAATGGCTTCAAAATTACCCAAATTGTTATTACATTTTTTTGATGCATATTGATATCCTTATGCTATGCAGAAAGTTTCCAATCAAATTTTTGCAATTTTTAAAGCAACTCAAAAATCAGGCCCAAAGTTCCTATACTATACATGTAGTACAGGGACTTTCGCAAAAATTTAGCCAAAAATAAAAGGGAGAGAATTTTCCATTACATACATGTATGTATTTGTATATAAAATTTGTAAAAATCTAATTTTGATTGGAATCAGCTCAAACTTTCTGTACAGCATAAGAAAAATGGCTCATTCTGAAAAATGGCTCCAAATCATCCCAAGTTTTTAAAACATTTTAAAATGCATA